GATTGAGTGATAGAACAGTGGGACGCCTGAAGTCATCGATGGAGAAAACTACCAGCTTCGTTGCCGTGGGATTATGCCCTACACCTCAGTTGTTACTATCACAACCACTGTGGTCCGTCACCTACCCCTTCTAACTGTGCACTCGGTCTGTCTCGTGGCCCGATCCGCTTATTTACCGATGAGATCGAGGAGTATCCCCATGAGTCTATCGAAGAGCTATGTCAATCTTACCTCGATGAGAAGGGCTACCTTCGCTTCGGAAGAGCATGCGCTAATGCTAATGTTCTACAAACCTCTGGTGCTACTGAGCTATTAAAACCAGGTACCAAGATTACGTGGAAGAAGAATTTGGAGATTTGTGAAGCCGTCGTATGTACTCCTCCTTCTGGGCTACAACCGTCCGGTTATGACTCTGACTCCCCTCAATTACATGGTTACGCTTATCTATATCCCAACTTCCGTACTTGTTGGATAAAATATCTAGACAACGACACCAAGGAGGTGAAGAGAGTTCCTATATCTCAGATATCACTGAGGAGGGAAGATATCACCTTCGATGATCAACCACCACACTCATTACCAGGATCCATTGGTGGTCTCCGTAAGGATGAGTTCATCGTGGTGAATGTCGGTGCTGATCCACCTTCATCGATCTATGTACTGGCAAGAATTCTGGCTGTTGGTCCTACCTGGGTTGACATTATTGTTCATGACCTTTGTTCGGGTAAGTTCAAGCCGTTGTATACGGATCGTAACCGTAGCCGATTTAAGTTTACTTCTGGAGCGGGTCTTTTCTCCGGATAGACGTCGAGTGAGTCTTTCCCAAGTTGAGAGTGATAGCTTCGCTTTGACTAAAGCGGACAGAGTTCCTGTTGCAGTACAGCGTTCATTGTCCGCGAGAGGAATCAGTACGGTTCCGGGCGGCACTTGTTGATACTATCCGTCTTGAACGTTATCGATTATTAAGACGAGCGCTTTTTACGATCACAATTCGCTATGTTCCGTTCATTGTGCTCGCGTCATAGTCGTCTAGTCCCACCCATCATCAGTCCGTCCTAATACGAATATCCATGTTAGTTGTCATTTCACTAACTCGGTTATTGGACTCGTACGCCTGACATCTACCTATCAGTCTACTCTCATAATACCGGTACAACAAAAGACCCAGAACTTGAGTTAAGAGGTTACATCAGTACGTCACGGTGGTGTACAAGTTAAGCAAAGTCACTAGTGTATACCACTCAGGACTTGGCAGTGGATCATTCACAAAACACCAAATATACGACTAGTCGACAGCGTCAGAGAGCTGTTTCACAGCAACAGGCTGTTGCCAACAGCTAGCCCGGACAAACACCCCAACCACTGTACCACTAATTGACGTTGGAGGAGTTGAGTGAAGTTCTGCAAGGGAGCAAGTTCAACGACTGTACAACGCAATGGGGGAATGGCGCTCGCCGCATTGAACTTTGTATAGTGGCACAGATTGGGTAGTTACGTACTTCGG